GTGTGTGCGTTTGAGGTAAATGCAGCAGAGGAATTAGCTGGCAAAACTATGAGCCTGAAACAAGCTAGCCGAGCTTATTGTGGTAAGGCAAGTAAAGAAAAGGATCAAACACGCCAAAGGTTACCATGTATACTATACCATAAACCCTAAAACATCACAAGAATGTTATTCTTAGCATCATACTTACCATCACGTTTGGCATATTGTAGAAGCAGGTCACAGACTTGACATAGTATATCAATATCTTTGTCCTCCTTTGCATCAAAAAATAACAGGAATTGACCCAAAAAATCCGAAGCAACATAGCTTTTCCTGATTTAATGGCAACATAATCAAAGAGCTGTTCCAGAACCAGAATAGGTTTTAAGTTTTTGGCTATGCTTACCTATCTAAATTCTGGAAGAAACCTTCAAAAGTAGAGCAGAAGTTTTCTCAAGCTTCAGAACATTTTGATTGTATAGCCTTCTTCCCTCTAAAGCATCTCTAAAGCTTATAAATAGTCAGTTTCCATTGAGGGTCTAGAAAAGAATAGGTAGCAGTTCCTCACTGATAAAAAGCTGAGGGTGGCTTACACAAACATAACACATCTGCCATGTCACACACCATAGTTCATGAAACATGCATAAACTTTTTCATAACCAGTGATCCAACAACTTTGAAGAACACTCAACTATCATTGGATCATGAAAACGCCCAACTTACCTCACATCCCCCAACCCCACCCCACCCACAACCCCACGCACACATACCAATTTAGATTTATCCCGGATGGTCCATGGAAGATCGAACTCGAACGGGCAGCGTGCTGAACTGGCGATGCGCCAACCCCGTAATACAATCGTGAAGGGTTTAAAACAAACCTGGATCTTTATGGCGGAGGAATTCTGCTGCTCTAGCAGCAACTGGCGGTTGCGCTCTGTCAGGTCGCCGGAGAAGGGCATCGATGCCTGCATGCATGCTTCACATATAAACACACAAAATCCGGAAAATCTACCAAATTTCGCAGAGCAAGAAAAGGTGAGGCCGGTCAGGCCTTACTCGCAGGTGGGGGATCAGGATGCTTTACCGGAATAAGGATCAGCGTGGCGGCGGAAGCTAGGTTTTAGGTTTGCGGCGGGGTGGAGCGTGGGCTGGGTCAGGGGTGATGTTGGTGTTTCTCAAAAAAAAACAAGGTGCAAGAAAAGCGCTGCTCGGCTCTTCGTGCCTGACAGGTAATTGTTTTTGTTTTTTCAACTCAACTTTTGGACCATCGTAACTGGCGAACGTTCGTCAGGAGGGTGGCACATGCAAAAGATTAGTTGGCAGTTTCAGTTCTGATAAAGTTATGTAGGTGGCATTTTATTCAGAAGACATGGCAATGTCTTCCCAAGAAGATATTTTTTGTTTAAAAACTGTCACGCTGTGTTCGGATGTCTGTATTGGAGGCCTCCTTATTGAATTGGTTTCAATTCGAATTCAGGATGGAAACTGTAATGGACATGAATACGAATTCACATGCTTGGATGCTCATGGAATTGGGCTATAGAATCGCAGTGAGTTTTCAATAGCAAATCATGTTCGGACGAAGAACTATGGAATTGCATGGTGTTTTGTGCTTTATATATCAAATCAAAATCTATACCACATGTGGTATAATCGAATAATTATATAACAATAAAAATTAACAAATATTCTAGAAATGCATATGACACCAAATAATATTCACACGGCAATAGCAACAATAGTAAATTTCTTACAACAACATTATGGCAAATAAGTGGATCAGTACAACAACACATAGTTCAGATGGAAGAATATTATAATTGCATGTGCACTAACCTCCAAATACACGCACATGGTTTTTTTAGCCTATTTGTTTTCTAAAAGTATACATGGCTTATACGGAAAGCCTGATTTTTTTGTTTTTTCTAATTTTGTTTACTAACTATTTTGAATGTGTCGTTCACTGGAGCAGATAAGCCGGGGGGGCATCTCTAATTTACTGGCTTATGTTGAGCTACTTCTTAGAAAATTCTAAGCGCTACTTCACTTACCCCATCTATTAAGCCATCGTTGCGATGCTCCAGCGGTCCAGCCCACCTAGCGACCCAGGAAAAGTCCACATCATTTTTTTTTACTCAAACCACATGCACATGTCATCCTCTACATAGAACTGTTGCTTTAGTTAAAAAGAAAAACTGCATCTTCCTCTCCTCTCAATCGATCCCCTTTAGTCCTCCTCACCCACATGCGCCACCAGTTGTGATTAGCAGCCAGCGAAGTAAGATCTAGCTAATGTATTCCAGGAATCTAACTCCTGACCTTCTCTGATGTCACTTCTCGCTACTGTTTTTATAATTTCTCGTCCTCAGGTACTAAACGCGAGCCCTAATCATGGCGACCTAGAATGGGGCACGCAGCAGAGGCAAACTTGTGTGGCTGGGTCTCAGCTCGATGGAGGAGGGCCATCAATGGGAGGGCAGCGTTCAGCCCAAAATTTGCTTGCCGAAGGGGAGGTTGATGTACACGTGCTGGATCTGCGGCACAATATAGAGGTTTTCCTTCCAGCTATTGTCAGGTATTGGTTGGCGGAGCTAGATTTGTAGAAGTAGATCGGGAGCCCCCGCAAAAAAAAAGATTGGGAGAGAAATACTTAGTAAGATGAGAAGTGTGTCCGCTGGTAGAAGCGATTTGCCGGACTATATATTTTTCTTCCTTCATAGAAACCGACTCTTCACAGGTGTTTTTTCCCAATTTGGACTAAAAAGTATATTATTTTGATTTGTTGTTGTCATATCTGAGAAAATATTACTTGTATGTATTAGTAATAGACAAAGCGAGAAGACTTGCATGTAGTATAAGAAGCTTAGTTCATATATATGTTGTTAAACAAACAATGGTTGATCATTTGCAGGCCAAGCTAATAACATTGGAGGTTTTCTTATGCTTCTCATGAACTGAAAATGTTAGTGTGATATAGAAGTGCTATTGCCAGAAACATATATTGAAGAAGTTTTTTCCGAATAATTGCAATTTGACATGCATTGAATAGTGCTAACATTCGGACCCTTACTATCCAATAAGTATCATCCTTATCTTGACCAATGTCTAGTATTCTTAGGCTCTTTATTTGGGGAAATACATATAGTCCGACTTTCAGAGGATAAGCTACTAATCAACTTATTTGTGGATAAGTGTGTTGTCTAATGGCTGCATTAACATTAGGTTTTCTTTGGCCATAATGGACATCTGAATCTTCATCTTCGTCCCCTAGTAGTTATTTTTGGTTGAACTGGTTTTTGTTCTCTCGTACATCTTTTTCTTTTCCTTGTTGCACATTTGTCTCTGTTCATTTATCCCCTGAGCCATCAGATATTGAAATAGATCTTGGTATCCTTCTTTATCACGCGGAGCTCATGTGACGTTGATATTTTCTTCTTGGCGCCCATCTTCATTTACTATTATCCAGTTTGTATCCGTAATTCCATTGTTTTGTGATAATCATCACATGGCATGTATGATAATTTAATATTTTCTTGCAGGCGATCTATTGTAGGCCTATAGCTATGAACACAAAATCAGAAAATTTACCCAGAAACTCAATGTTAGCATTGTGATAAAACTAAAACTCAATGCTAGCATTGTGATAAAACTAAGTGACACAAATAAGTCAAATGTTACTTCATTATAATTGATATGAATCAAATATTCAAATGTCATTGCAGGTCTCAAGGGTCAGGTTTTCTTCGAAGATATCATATCTCAAAAGAACTCGGATGGATTACCTGATTTAGTAGGTTTTCTTGATTCGTCGTAGTAAGTTCTTGTAATGCTCTGCTCCAGTAAAACATTTTTTTCTAGCATCCTTGAGTACTTTTATCTATTTCGATCATTTTAGGTACAATTTATTCTGCTCAGTGCCTACATTTATGGTTTGAGTTAAGAATAACTATTATTTACATTAGTGAGTTTACATGAGTCACAATTCGTCGACTAATAACAAAAAGATAGTGTCTCATACCCTCTGTTTTCAAGGCGTCCCTAAGGCGTCGCCTAGGCGACGCTTAGGCGTCAGGGCGCCCTGCGAGGGCAAGGCGTCCACCTCGCCTTAGGTGGGTGTCTAAGGCGTCCGCCTTAAGCTATAAGGCGTCCGAGGCGTCTGCCTAGGCGTCCGAGGCGTTGTCTTAGTCCATTTTGTACGCCTTAGCTTGCCAGGCAGGCAGGGGAGCTATTTTAGGCGGGAAACTGGAATCATGTTGGCGCCAACAGGTAAGAGGGGAGAAAGAGAGAGAGAGAAACAGCCCCCAATCCACACACTCCTCCCCCTCCTTCTCTTCAGTGGCTCCTCTCCAGCAGATCTGGTTCCTCCTCCTCTCCAGCAGCTCCTCCCCCTCCTCTCCAACGGTTCCTCCTCTCCAGCAGCTCCTCCTCTTCCTCCTGTCCAGCAGCTCCTCCTCCTCTTCCTCCTGTCCAGCAGCTCCTCCTCATCCTCCTGTCCAGCAGCTCCTCCTCTGCAGTACAGCAACAACAAGCAAGAGCAACAGTAAGGTATACCTCCCTCTCCCTTCTCCCACACCCTCCTCTGCTCTCTTTCTTCTTTGCTGGACTGTTTTGTGCTAGCTGGTTGGTGGTTGCTCACTTGTCTCTTATAGTGGTTAGTGCCTTAGTGGCCAGGCATATGTTAGTGATTAGTTAAAGATAGTGGGGTTAGTGCCTTAGTGGATGCTCCTTGGTTGAATAAAATAATGCATGCTGTTGGCCTGTTGGGTGGATTAGAATAAAGGCTAGTTGAATACTGATGCATGATGTGTTGTGCTCAACAATGGATTAGTTTAATGACTAGTTGAATGCTGATTAGTTTAATGGCTAGTTGATTGTCGCTGTTTGCTACATCTGCATGAGTAGAGTAGTTTAGTTGCTGCCACAGCAGCCTTTTCATATGCCATGGCAGCCCTTTTATCAGTTATGCTAATATTCCTTTGTGTTTGGTTGTTTGCTGCAGGTAGTAGAAGTGTAGCACCATGGATGGAAATGCAGCAGCTGATGGGGGTGAGCCCACCTACGATCCAATGAAAGATCCAACAAGGAAGCCACAACGGTATCCGGGATGGAACTATGGATATTGGTCTGAGCCTCCAAATCGGGATCTTATTGTGTGCGCTCTTTGTGGCAAGATAACTTCTGGAGGGATCAAGAGGCATAAAGAGCATCTTGCGGGCGTCGGGGGAGATGCAATTGGTTGTCCTAAGGCCACCACACAATTGAGGAGAGAAATGGGAACATATTTGGAGCAAAATAGGAGGATCAAGGGAGTAGTAGACTATGTTTTTAAGGCGGTAAGGCGAGGCGAGGCGCTGGGGGGGCGCCTCACTGCCTAAGCGCTGAGGCATAAGGCGAGGCGACGCCTTAGAGACTTGTAAGCAACAGAATTAAGTAGAATTTGGTAGGCATTAAGCAACTAGGCATACAGCCATACACACCTTGCAACTGATTGTTGTAGAGCCCCCATCCTCTTTGCACTTGCTTTTCTCCCCAACAGAATTCTGCATCAACATGAAGTCATGAACAAATATGTTAGAATAATGCATCACTTACCAGTGCACATTCCACAAAAAATAGAAATAAAAGTGAGGCAGCAAACAAAAGTGGAAAGAAAGATAGCAAGTATGAGTGCAACTGCAATCTGCAATGGTCCACATAAGACAAACAGAATAATAGATAATTCCACATAAGACAAACAGAATAATAGATAATTCCAGCATAGCAAAAGGGATAAAGGTGGCCAGCTCAGCTCTCTCATGTCTCTCCACTCTCAAAGTCTCAATCAAAAGTCATCATCATCAAACTCATTGGCATTGGTGTTGTCTTCACCATCTTGGTCAACATTAGTTGGCTCTTGATCGTCATTGCTCACATCATCATCATCCTCAACGTAGTCTGAATCCTCCCCCTCCGCATTGGGCATACTTGAGTGTTGCTCTTGCTCCAAGTCCTCCTCTACCTCATCTTCTTCAGGAATTATAGGTCGTGTTGTAGTAGGTCTCTTGCGTGCGTAGTGCAGACGGACATTTGTCTGGCCCCTACGAAGTGTAGTTGCTGTCCTATGCAGATTGCGGCCTCGAAGGTTTGAAGATGCACCAATAGCCACATCAACATCCTCCCATGTAATGTCTTGATTGTCTTCAGGACAACCTCGAGCACCTTGAGGTTGTGATAGTGATGGGTCCACCCACTCATTGCCCCAATCAAAATCCTCAATGACCAAAGCCTCAAAGCTATTCTCGCCCACCTTCTCACGCCTCTTTTGAAACCGTTGCATATTCTTCCGGTTGTATGAAACAAAGACAAGATCATTCAACCTTTTCCATTGGAATCTGTTCCTTTTCTTTGTATGGATCTACAAAGTAGAAACAACAAGTGAAATAAGTAAATAACTTGCTGAAATCATCATTGAACAAACACAAATACTGCTTTACTAGTTGACTTACAAATTCAAACGTGCTCCAATTCCTCTCACAACCAGATGATGAAGCACAAAGACTAACAATGCGCTTTGCAAACCTTTGTAGGTTAATGGCCCGACCACCAAATGAACTCCACAAATCAACTAAAATGATAAAAACTAACACATATTAAGAGTTTGTACAGAAATTACATTGCTGGAACTGGAATTAACATGCTGAAATTAACATGATGCATTTAATATGACTTACGAGGGTTTCTTGTGCTCATGGTCTCGAGTGCCAATGGATTAGAAAAGCTTTCTCGCTGTTGCTCATAGAGCACAGATTGTTGATCAATCTTTTTTCGAACATTGGCATCCGGTACCATTTTTGCAAGCACATCATTAAAGCAGCTCCTAAGCTCCCCAACTAAGGCATCATCATTTCTGCTTACAATAGGAAAGAACTTTCCTGGGTTCAAAAATAGAGCAGCCCCATACAATGGATGATCCATTTGATTCTCCCAACGCTTATCAACAATGGCCAAGATCTTCTTGAGCAATGGTTGCTTGTTTTGTTGAGGGAAACCTAGATTGATCCTCTCCTTTGCATAAATCATAAGTGCTTTAATCTCTGGCATGGCAGGCTTCTCATCACCATCTGCTACTCTAAGAACTCTAAGAAGTGGAGTTGAAGCTCTAAGGCAGTCCTCAATTGCGCTCCACCACTCCGTTGAAAGTATAATCTCTTGCACATTCAAGCCAACTTGTGTTTTTGCTAACTTGTTTCCAACCCATTCTTCAGATGTAAATAAACTCCTCAATGCAGCCTTATTCTTGACCAAACTCCTAAGTGTGAGGATGGCTATGGCAAAATGAGTGGCTGCTGGTCTCACAAGATCCCCACCCGTGGCCTTCCTCATTAGACTAAGAAGTCTTCCATGTCTATAGATGAAAGTTGTGACACGTCTAGCCCCTGCAATAGGCTTCTTAAATGCCTTCAACTTTCCTATATCTTCCAACATTAGGTCCAAGCAATGACATGCACACGGGCTCCAATATAGAGTAGGCATCCTCTCCATTAGAAGGTGGCCAGCTTTCTTGTAATTAGCACCATTATCGGTGATAGCTTGTACCACATTCTCTTTTCCAACATCCAGAATTCTCTTCTCAAGCAAATCAACTATCATATCACCATCATGACATACACTTGAGGCATCAACCGACTCCAAGAAGAAAGTGCCCTCTGGACTATTAACAAGGAAGTTAATCAAATGGCGTCCTCTTTTATCCAACCAGCTATCCGACATGAGTGTGCATCCATATTTTTTCCATGCTGCCTCGTGTTGCCTCCTCAAAAGTCATGTTTCCTTCACACAATCATTAAGCAATTTCTCTCTCAGCTCATGTGCACTAGGAGGCTTGTAACCTGACCCATATTGACAAGAGGCTTCAATTGCAACCTCAAACTGCCTACTACTTGCAGCGTTGAATGGAATGCCACACTCGTAAAAGAACAATGCCCACTGCATATTGACATACTGCCTCTCTTCTAGAGTCTTTGTGCTGGACTCCATGGTGCTTTGAGAACACCCAGAGCGTCTTTCATCTACAAGATCCTAGGGTGTTCTTCGTAGCTTGGCAACAATTGGCTTGGAACTATTGGCGGCAGACACAACAGAAACAGACTTCTTTTTACCTTGCATGTTGGTGATAAACGCTTTCTTATTCTGTTTGGCTGCTGTCCCTGAGCTTGGCCTTTTAGAGGTGATGTTTGCTCCAACTGAACTCACCTCCACAACCTCCTGAACATCATCTACATCTACTACTCCCTTGATCCTCCTATTTTGCTCCAAATATGTTCCCATTTCGCTCCTCAATTGTGTGGTGGCCTTAGGACAACCAATTGCATCTCCCCCGACGCCCGCAAGATGCTCTTTATGCCTCTTGATCCCTCCAGAAGTTATCTGGCCACAAAGAGCGCACATAACAAGATCCCGATTTGGAGGCTCAGACCAATATCCATAGTTCCATCCCGGATCATTTGACCGTTGTGGCTTCCTTGTTGGATCTTTCATTGGATCGTAGGTGGGCTCACCCCCATCAGCTGCTGCATTTCCATCCATGGTGCTACACTTCTACTACCTGCAGCAAACAACCAAACACAAAGGAATATTAGCATAACTGATAAAAGGGCTGCCATGGCATATGAAAAGGCTGCTGTGGCAGCAACTAAATTACTCTACTCATGCAGATGTAGCAAACAGCGACAATCAACTAGCCATTAAACTAATCAGCATTCAACTAGTCATTAAACTAATCCATTATTGAGCACAACACATCATGCATCAGTATTCAACTAGCCTTTATTCTAATCCACCCAACAGGCCAACAACATGCATTATTTTATTCAACCAAGGAGCATCCACTAAGGCACTAACCCCACTATCATTAAACTAATTACTAACATATGCCTGGCCACTAAGGCACTAACCACTATAAGAGACAAGTGAGCAACCACCAACTAGCTAGAACAAAACAGTCCAGCAAAGAAGAAAGAGAGTAGAGGAGGGTGTGGGAGAAGGGAGAGGGAGGTATACCTTACTGTTGCTCTTGCTTGTTGTTGCTATACTGCAGAGGAGGAGCTGCTGGACAGGAAGATGAGGAGGAGCTGCTGGACAGGAGGAAGAGGACGAGGAGCTGCTGGACAGGAGGAAGAGGAGGAGCTGCTGGAGAGGAGGAACCGTTGGAGAGGAGGGGGAGGAGCTGCTGGAGAGGAGGAACCAGATCTGCTAGAGAGGAGCCACTGAAGAGAAGGAGGGGGAGGAGTGTGTGGATTGGGGGCTGTTTCTCTTTCTCTCTTTCTCCCCTCTTACCTGTTGGCGCCAACATGATTCCAGTTTCCCGCCTAAAACAGCTCCCCTGCCTGCCTGGCAAGCTAAGGCGTCCAAAATGGACTAAGGCAACGCCTCGGACGCCTAGGCAGACGCCTGGGACGCCTTATAGCTTAAGGCGGACGCCTTAGACACCCACCTAAGGCGAGGTGGACGCCTTGCCCTCGCAGGGTGCCCTGACGATGCCTAAGCGTCGCCTAGGCGACGCCTTAGGGATGCCTTGAAAACAGAGGTAGTAGATGTAGATGATGTTGAGGAGGTTGTGGAGGTGAGTTCAGTTGGAGCAAACATCGCCTCTAAAAGGCCAAGCTCAGGGACAGCAGCCAAACAGAATAAGAAAGCGTTTATCACCGACATGCAAGGTAAAAAGAAGTCTGTTTCTGTTGTGTCTGCCGCCAATAGTTCCAAGCCAATTGTTGCCAAGCTACGAAGAACACCCGAGGATCTTGTAGATGAAAGACGCTCTGGGTGTTCTCAAAGCACCATGGAGTCCAGCACAAAGACTCCAGAAGAGAGGCAGTATGTCAATATGTAGTGGGCATTGTTCTTTTACGAGTGTGGCATTCCATTCAACGCTGCAAGTAGTAGGCAGTTTGAGGTTGCAATTGAAGCCTCTTGTCAATATGGGTCAGGTTACAAGCCTCCTAGTGCACATGAGCTGAGAGAGAAATTGCTTAATGATTGTGTGAAGGAAACATGACTTTTGAGGAGGCAACACGAGGCAGCATGGAAAAAATATGGATGCACACTCATGTCGGATGGCTGGTTGGATAAAAGAGGACGCCATTTGATTAACTTCCTTGTTAATAGTCCAGAGGGCACTTTCTTCTTGGAGTCGGTTGATGCCTCAAGTGTATGTCATGATGGTGATATGATAGCTGATTTGCTTGAGAAGAGAATTCTGGATGTTGGAAAAGAGAATGTGGTACAAGTTATCATCGATAATGGTGCTAATTACAAGAAAGCTGGCCACCTTCTAATGGAGAGGATGCCTACTCTATATTGGAGCCCGTGTGCATGTCATTGCTTGGACCTAATGTTGGAAGATATAGGAAAGTTGAAGGCATTTAAGAAGCCTATTGCAGGGGCTAGACGTGTCACATCTTTCATCTATAGACATGGAAGACTTCTTAGTCTAATGAGGAAGGCCACGGGTGGGGATCTTGTGAGACCAGCAGCCACTCGTTTTGCCACAGCCATCCTCACACTTAGGAGTTTGGTCAAGAACAAGGCTGCATTGAGGAGTTTATTTACATCTGAAGAATGGGTTGGAAACAAGTTAGCAAAAACACAAGTTGGCTTGAATGTGCAAGAGATTATACTTTCAACGGAGTGGTGGAGCGCAATTGAGGACTGCCTTAGAGCTTCAACTCCACTTCTTAGAGTTCTTAGAGTAGCAGATGGTGATGAGAAGCCTGCCATGCCAGAGATTAAAGCACTTATGATTTATGCAAAGGAGAGGATCAATCTAGGTTTCCCTCAACAAAACAAGCAACCATTGCTCAAGAAGATCTTGGCCATTGTTGATAAGCGTTGGGAGAATCAAATGGATCATCCATTGTATGGGGCTGCTCTATTTTTGAACCCAGGAAAGTTATTTCCTATTGTAAGCAGAAATGATGATGCCTTAGTTGGGGAGCTTAGGAGCTGCTTTAATGATGTGCTTGCAAAAATGGTACCGGATGCCAATGTTCGAAAAAAGATTGATCAACAATCTGTGCTCTATGAGCAACAGCGAGAAAGCTTTTCTAATCCATTGGCACTCGATACCATGAGCACAAGAAACCCTCGTAAGTCATATTAAATGCATCATGTTAATTTCAGCATGTTAATTCCAGTTCCAGCAATGTAATTTCTGTACAAACTCTTAATATGTGTCAGTTTTTATCATTTTAGTTGATTGGTGGAGTTCATTTGATGGTCGGGCCATTGACCTACAAAGGTTTGCAAAGCGCATTGTTAGTCTTTGTGCTTCATCATCTGGTTGTGAGAGGAATTGGAGCACGTTTGAATTTGTAAGTCAACTAGTAAAGCAGTATTTGTGTTTGTTCAATGATGATTTCAGCAAGTTATTTACTTATTTCACTTGTTGTTTCTACTTTGTAGATCCATACAAAGAAAATGAACAGATTACAATGGAAAAGGTTGAATGATCTTGTCTTTGTTTCATACAACCGGAAGAATATGCAACGGTTTCAAAAGAGGCGTGAGAAGGTGGGCGAGAATAGCTTTGAGGCTTTGGTCATTGAGAATTTTGATTGGGGCAATGAGTGGGTGGACCCATCACTATCACAACCTCAAGGTGCTCGAGGTTGTCCTGAAGACAATCAAGACATTACATGGGAGGATGTTGATGTGGCTATTGGTGCATCTTCAAACCTTCGAGGCCGCAATCTGCATAGGACAGCAACTACACTTCGTAGGGGCCAGAAAAATGTCCGTCTGCACTACGCACGCAAGAGACCTACTACAACACGACCTATAATTCCTGAAGAAGATGAGGTAGAGGAGGACTTGGAGCAAGAGCAACACTCAAGTATGCCCAATGCGGAGGGGGAGGATTCAGACTACGTTGAGGATGATGATGATGTGAGCAATGACGATCAAGAGCCAACTAATGTTGACCAAGATGGTGAAGACAACACCAATGCCAATGAGTTTGATGATGATGACTTTTGATTGAGACTTTGAGAGTGGAGAGACATGAGAGAGCTGAGCTGGCCACCTTTATCCCTTTTGCTATGCTGGAATTATCTATTATTCTGTTTGTCTTATGTGGAATTATCTATTATTCTGTTTGTCTTATGTGGACCATTGCAGATTGCAGTTGCACTCATACTTGCTATCTTTCTTTCCACTTTTGTTTGCTGCCTCACTTTTATTTCTATTTTTTGTGGAATGTGCACTGGTAAGTGATACATTATTCTAACATATTTGTTCATGACTACATGTTGATGCAGAATTCTGTTGGGGAGAAAAGCAAGTGCAAAGAGGATGGGGGCTCTACAACAATCAGTTGCAAGGTGTGTATGGTTGTATGCCTAGTTGCTTAATGCCTACCAAATTCTACTTAATTCTGTTGCTTACAAGTCTCTAAGGCGTCGCCTCGCCTTATGCCTCAGCGCTTAGGCAGTGAGGCGCCCCCCCAGCGCCTCGCCTCGCCTTACCGCCTTAAAAACATAGCTCATACCTGTTAAGAAGTTCCTGATTCTTGGGAATGTCTAAACATTCTTGTGGCATCTCTTGACTTTAGATAAAAAACTGTTAAGTCAACAGTGAATCTCTCCAACATTGGTTTTTTTTCATGAAAAGCGGAAGAGCATGTATATTACTGGACTTACCATTGAAAACCATTAGGAAGGTCACAATAATGATAGCTATATATAAGTAATCTGGAATGTAAATTTGGAGATTAATTGTGGTAACCGTCAGAAAGAATAATTAGTTGTAAGTTGGTTTCAATACCTGGGCATTGTTTATCTTTCTTCGTTCTTGTAGGAATTATCTTTCCCCGTCTCGTAGCGTGTCCTTGGATAGAAATTCAAAACAGTAATCTAGATAAAAGTTCTGGTGTTTCTTTCACCTTATTTGACATCTTACATGTGAAAAAATATTTTCAATTGCATTGCTCACCAGGCTATATTTTATGGGTTAAAATTGCTAAGTTGCATATGTAGATCTCTGACTAAAAATGCTTTATAAATGCCTAGAGATTCTTCCAGACTGTTGCATGCATTGTATGCCCTGTTAGAACAATCAAAATATAATTAGATAGAATAATTCTCAGTTAAATATGTAAAGAATAAACGTGTTCATCAACCAAGATCATGTCAAACCTCATAAGCTCAAAAGTTGTAGAATTGTGTATTAGCTTCAAAAGCAACAGAAACATAGTTGCTGTTTAAGAAAGTACAGTTGATGATTTAATCCAGAATAAGTTAGTTCACTAAAAAATAGGTACCTGACTTGATGATTCAGGTGAGAAGCAACTCAAAAGGTTGGGGCATATGACTTCATCCGGCATCGGCACCAAGTTGCACGTGAAACTTTGGTTTTTCCTGGCTTCGATCTTTATCAGGCATAGAATTGGCTGACTTTGATTTTTGTGATTGTGTTTTGGTCCCGTAGTTTGGGCTGGCTTCTACTTTCTTGGGTGTGTGCCTGGTTTGGCTGGCTAGATGTGTTTGGTTTTCCATGGTTGTGGAATTCTGTATGTTGTATCCTACTCTATAAATCTTATTTGCATGCACGCACCTGTCAGCAGTTTGGAATTGTGTCCACGTGAAGTGAGATTCCGTTTCCTAGTGTATTTACATGTTGGAGTCGTGCTTGCCTCTAACTCTTGGACGGAAAGACGCATATATTTCCTTGTCTTAAACACGTGTCCAGTGTCTAGTCCGTTTGGACGTGACAATAGTTGTACTAAAAGTTACGTGTTTTAAAGGATAGTTTATTCTTGTACATGCGTGTGCTTACGTGGTGATGCATGACTTACTATCCTTGTTTCATCACATCCAAATCACGATATGTCTTTCCTATTGCAATAATGGTCTCAGATCAAAATCACATCAATGCATGCCTTCCAGTTAGCCTACGTTATCCCTAATTTTTTTCTCTACGTTATGCTTCTATATGCATCTAACGTGACAACGTGAAAGTTCAATATTGTTGGTACATATATTTTTAGATGTTACGTAAGAACCTTAAAATCTCAGCCATTATTATTCTAATCAAACGGTGCAAAATAGATTAGCATATGTGGACGAACGTGATGGCTTGTTTTACTCTTGTTTTAAGTATATAAATAGATGTTCCTGGCAGAATGTTAACATGTTTAATCCATATTGCCGTGGTTGTTGCTAATGATACGTGCATCCTATGAACTTGCTCTTGCCATGGTTAACTTCATGAACATGTCATCTTGCTGTTAGTATGCTTGTTTTGTCATGCAATGCTTTGTGATGAGTGATTCGATCTCGCAAAGTTGTTATCATAAATCTTTTTATGCTATGCTCTGTTTTTCTGCCAAGGCTGAAACTGTTAATAAAACTTGCTATGTTTACATGGGTGCCATCATATCTTCTGTGCCTTTTTGGCTCATGATCAGTAAGGGACTTTTGTTCTATGCATTTAGTAGATTCATGCCATGCCTTCATTTGCTATGATATGTTCCTGTAGCACGTTGTTTGCTTGCTCTAAACATGGCTTCCTGATGTTATTTCTGGCATGTTAGTATTTTCACCGTCTGTGATGATGTTATCTTTTGCACTTTTGCCATGCCTATTTGAACCTGTTCTAGTGTGTTTTGGCTGTAACTCAGTGTTCATATTTTGTCAAGCATCGCTTGTAAATCACTGCCATATGCTTTGTTGTTATGTTGGAGTATATTAGCTTAGTTTCTTGTTGCATGCTAAGTAGCATCGTGCTGTTAATCGCAGAATCGTGTCATTCTTGTTTTGCTTGCCATTTGCAAACCGTGCATCCGTTTCCGGTGATCTTTATATCGATTTCAACTGAAATCACCTCATCTTTCCA